TTGACTCCAAGAGTCATTTCTCAATTTTTATAGTTCTTCCATGGTAGAAAAAATAAATTCAAATGAAGTGTACTTTTAGGCACAAAAAAAGAGTCACAATTCAGTTTTAAAGTGGTTACTCATGACAGCAACTGAAGTTGGTTGGGTCAGTGCTTCTTAGCTTTTTGGAGGGTTAAGAACTTCCTAGAAACTGCAGACTTTGTCTAAAGAAAAAGAAATAAATATATGTCCACATCTTATTTTGCATTCAATTTGGTTTAGGGTGATTTATGGACTCCTTGAATCTCATGTGGCCTGTCGCATAAAAGACCACGAGTGACCACCTTCCTATGTCCTACCTGCCGAGACTCTCCTAACACCTGACTTTACAGGTCAGCTCCATTACAGAATGCCTTATAAAGTGGAAAATTGAAAATAAAGTATTTGGAAATAACACAGCCCTCCATGGTCTTGCTTTATTAACAATTCCTCAAAGCACTAAAAGCCCCCTGCTAGAGTAAAAAGTTGTGGCTCCAGAGCAAATCCTTAGGTAGCCTCATAAGTCAAGAGACCTTAGAGAATGTACTTAACACTGAATCTCAGGATTCCTATCTGAAAATAAGGATGATCGAGGGGCAGATCCAGAGCAACGGTCATTGGAGACATGACAGTCATGTGATCAGATGAGGGGCATCACAATGGATCACCAGTGAGGATAATATGTTCCCAGTGAAACTAATGCAAGGATTATATGTAGATTTTGGTATGTAGATTTATTTTGGTAGGGTGTTTCTCTTTTTCTATTCAACGGAAAACCTCAAGTGATGTTATATTAAGGTCATAGTGATGATATTAAGAGATCTAGGGACCAGTAGTTGGCGTAATGGCTACATCTCTGGACTCCCATGTAGTCAACCGTGGTTCGAGTCCCGGACCTGGTGGCTTAAACTTACACTGGGCACATGTGTGTGCGTGCCCAAGATCCCAAGAGGAGAATGGAGGAGAAGGGATTGCAGCGTGGCTAACCCCCTTAGAGGTTGATTTCTCACTTTCTGTCTCTCTGTCTCTCTCTGTCTTTCTGGCAAGCACACGCACCCTATAGCAAAAACCTCTTCAGAAAAAAAAAAAAGAGACAGAGAGAGAGAGATCTAAAGAGAAAACTAGGGTTTACCAACTTCAATTAATTCTGCCTTTCAGTTGTCAGAATTTGGAGTGTTATAGGATGAAAGTATGCCTTGATAAATACTATTTTCTTTTGTAAAATAAATCTAGGACAACTTGAAATTCATGAAGCATAATGAATTTCGCTCATTAAAATTGAATATAAAAAATACTTATTTCTACCAAATTCTTGTATTAATTTAAGAAAAATCTAAAAGTTTTACTAAGGATGTTATAAACCCCAAGTAGAAAACATGGCTGTCTTTTATCCAAAAAGGCATAAACTTTTTTTTTACTATCTTTTGAACCAAATTGAAAATACTTGTGCTTTTTAATTTATTTATTTTCCTCTCCAAAGCATATATTAAGTTTACAGATTCTACTTTTCAAACTCATTTGTTGGTATGTTTGGTAATGATATTATCATATTGCTTATGAGTATCTACAGCATGTCTGGTGCTGGGCCAAGCAGAGTGCATGAGGTATCACTAACCCTACAGACAGCTCTCACAGTAACGCCTTGTCCTCCTCTTTAAAAACCAGCTAATGGGTATACAAAAGTTAAGGACCTAGGCCCCACTGTTACAAACTCTAAAGGCATAGTATCTTTCCACTGCATCGTGATGCTTCATTCAGTGATTCATTTGTAAGTTCTGAGGCATACTCATTATAACGACAGTGACAATGGCAAGAATAATGACAGTAAGAAGAGAAAGTGAGTACAAGACCTAAATGAAATATAATTCCTGGAGCTCCACTCATCTGTATCCTTTTAATTCCCAGGTGGGGTCCTGGGTGCTCCAGCCCTGTTCCTACCACATGGTTAATATTGAGATCCACTGTCTCCATAGATGTAACCAAAGCTCCCCACCTCTGGTTACCATTGTGTGGTTCTCTTCTTTGCTGTCACTTCCCATCTTCCTGCCATGGGAAAAGTTAGTGAGGATGTGGTCACCACACTAAGCCTTGCTGTACCAAGTCTTGGAACCCATCACCCCCACAAGGACTCCCTCTTTGGCTGAGCCATCCTCTCCAGAGAGGGAAGTGGGTCCCAGCTCTGAGGCTGAACTTAACCCACTGTGTGAATGAGAAGCCATGGTAGCTGTTGACCTCTAAATGTGCTCTACTAATAGTGAGGCAGTCTGGGGCTCACCTCTGTGTGTGATCATGTCTGAAAAGTTGGTATCTTGCAATAGTGGGTACTCACTGAATTATTGTTGACTATTGAAAAACAAGTCTATAATTCAAGAAGAGATGATCAAGGCAGCCATGAGTGCAATGTCACTGAGCTGGAGTGTCCACTCTGAAGCTGTTGTTGGTATTTCCTTGTTTAATGATTTGTGTTCTAACTTTATCAGTCCCATGGGTTTAGGCTTATCTTTTAGATAAGCATCTAATTTAATGGTTATATTTGAGTTAATGTTTAGGTGTTTTGCGTTAAACCTCATCAGTGCTTAATACCACATATTTATTGAAGCCTTACTATGTGCTAGCAGACAGAACATTGAATAAAAATAAGAGCCTTTCTTCTTTCATGGGCACAGATGGGCATGAGGGAGGAAACAGTAAACCAATAAAAGATCAAAATAATAAAAACTCTAGAAGAAAAATTTTGAAATTAATGGACAACAGTGATGGGTTGAGAAAGGCAGTTCAGATAGGTCAATCTGCAGAAGTTTTCTAGATAAAGCGGTATTTGAGCCAGGATCTGAATGAAGGGGAAGTACAAGTTGTCCAGAAGTAACAGTAGATGGCAAGGCCCTAGACTGGAAATTGTGCTTGGTATGAAGTGTGTTTGGCATTAAGTTTAAATTGTGCTTGGCATGACGGTTCCTACTGTATGTTGGAGTAAGATGTCTGGAAGGAAAAGAGCAGGGAGGAAGTAGGAAATGAGACTGGAAAGAAAACAAGTTGACCAGATAATTTTTGGGACTTGAGGATCGTAATGGGTCATCTCAAAGTGATCCTGTTTGAGATGGCTCAGTAACGTGTTCGCCTCTGAGGGATGTAGTATCAGAAAGTATTGTGCCCTCTTGGCAGACAAGTCTGGTTCAGAGTAGGTCAGAAAGCTGCCTCAGGGCTTGATGTTCTGTCTAGTCCAATTCTGTTGCTACTTGGGAATCTAATTAACCTGAAGGAATTAGGACAGTTACTAAAGAAATTTGGTGACTCTTCTTACAGGGTTGTGGGAAATCTTGAAGGTAAGTCCAAGTTCAATAATATGCATATACAGCCTTTTGGGTCATGAAGGATTTGCTATAGACCCAGGAGCCTGTATTATACAATAGGGTTGTATGTGGGGCATGAGGCACAGATGTTTCACTGTCCAAAAAAAAAAAAAAAAAATGATATTTCTCAGTCTAAAAAAAAAAAAAAATATATATATATATATATATATACACACACACACACACACACACACACACACACACACATACAAAGGTGCCTACTCAGGGTTTTTTGATTACTGATAACAACCAAGCAAAGCTAGTTTAAAGAGAGAGAGACTAGGAGAGAGAGAATTCATTAAAAAGATATGGAGTTGTTCACAGAATTTGAGGGGAGGGAGGCAGCCAGTCCTTCAAGGGGCTGATTCTGAATCAGAATCAAGACTCTTCTTCTCTCAACTCTGTATTTCTCTATCCATCTGCTTCATTCTCAGTGCCCTCTGCACACAGAAGAGAATCTCACTAAGATCAGTTATTTCATCCTGGTCCAATCAGTTATAACCAAGGAAGCAAGGTCAAGCAGTATCAATGGCATGGACCTCAGGTCCCACTCCTAAGAGCCAGTTCAAAGAAGGGCAGACAAACTAGCAACCTCTGCCACAAAAAACAAAAACAAAAATAAAACAACAACAATAACAACAACAACAACAAAAACCAAACAAACAAACAAACAAAAAAACGTAGATTAGGTTGCCTAGCCCCATATTTACCTTGTTGGAAGTAACTATGAGAAGTATCCCTGCAAGAACTCCTTCCCCAATCCAAGGGGTTATTTTTAGGGAGTGAAATATAATGAGGCAGGTAACAATAACCCCAAAAAACGTAAAAAAAAATCACAGAAGTAATGCATGTTTTCTGATGAGTTGTGTTTTTAGTGAGAAAATGTTTCTATCATGCCAACATGGTAGAAACAGAGAAAAAAAATCACAAGAATCCAGGATCTGGTTTAAATCAAGGTGTTAAGGGTTACATGACTGTGAGTAACTCACTTCGGTTCTCTGCTAAATGAAAGCGTTGTTTTAGATCCTCCTTCAGGTATCTTCTAGATGCTCTTTTTTTCCTACAAAATTTCCATTTGGCAGCAAGTAATTGTGTAGGGATTTGTCCTCTTCATGGGAGATAGACAACAAAAACAGTCAAGATGGGCCATAAACTTCTACAAATCTGAATGTGATCTTGATCTTAGTAATATTTTATTGTTTAACTTCATGTAAGTCAGCAAGTTAGTTCACTTCTTAAACTGAAGTTTGCTTATCTGTAAAACATGGGTAACAGTGATTACTTCAGTGGGTTGTTCTGCCCATTGAATAAGAAAACCTATGAAAGTTTCTAGCTCACTGTGATTGCTCAGTTTATGTCATTGTTATCACACCATGAAAAACTTCTCATCCTGTCTATATCTTACTTGACCATATTGTGTAAATGTGCAAGTAAGTAAAAATTAAACTCTAATATTCTTTCGAAGTGCTTTTTTGGTATGGATTAATGAAAATGAAATGAGACTAGCATTTGGGAGATTCTAGAGAGTGTCATACTAAATAACACCTCCATGTCATTCACAAACTCACTGTACCCTTGAATAATTTTTCATTACCTTCGTAAAATATGACTTCCCCATGTCCTCCTGGGCAGATGCGAAAGTATGGAGCTGGACAATAAAATCCGGGATCTGATTGAAAGAAATGCTTCTCCTGGTCCAAGAGGGATCAACCCAGAGGCCACATCAAGTCGTAGAAATTCGTGTTCTCCAAAGGTAAGAAAACACCTTCTTCTACATCTCCATACACTCTTTAGTTTACTCACCAGTAAGAATTTATGGGGACAGCCCCCGAACAGTCTAAAAAAAAAAAAAAATATATATATATATATATATACACACACACACACACACACACACACACACACACATACAAAGGTGCCTACTCAGGGTTTTTTGATTACTGATAACAACCAAGCAAAGCTAGTTTAAAGAGAGAGAGACTAGGAGAGAGAGAATTCATTAAAAAGATATGGAGTTGTTCACAGAATTTGAGGGGAGGGAGGCAGCCAGTCCTTCAAGGGGCTGATTCTGAATCAGAATCAAGACTCTTCTTCTCTCAACTCTGTATTTCTCTATCCATCTGCTTCATTCTCAGTGCCCTCTGCACACAGAAGAGAATCTCACTAAGATCAGTTATTTCATCCTGGTCCAATCAGTTATAACCAAGGAAGCAAGGTCAAGCAGTATCAATGGCATGGACCTCAGGTCCCACTCCTAAGAGCCAGTTCAAAGAAGGGCAGACAAACTAGCAACCTCTGCCACAAAAAACAAAAACAAAAATAAAACAACAACAATAACAACAACAACAACAAAAACCAAACAAACAAACAAAATCACGTAGATTAGGTTGCCTAGCCCCATATTTACCTTGTTGGAAGTAACTATGAGAAGTATCCCTGCAAGAACTCCTTCCCCAATCCAAGGGGTTATTTTTAGGGAGTGAAATATAATGAGGCAGGTAACAATAACCCCAAAAAACGTAAAAAAAAATCACAGAAGTAATGCATGTTTTCTGATGAGTTGTGTTTTTAGTGAGAAAATGTTTCTATCATGCCAACATGGTAGAAACAGAGAAAAAAAATCACAAGAATCCAGGATCTGGTTTAAATCAAGGTGTTAAGGGTTACATGACTGTGAGTAACTCACTTCGGTTCTCTGCTAAATGAAAGCGTTGTTTTAGATCCTCCTTCAGGTATCTTCTAGATGCTCTTTTTTTCCTACAAAATTTCCATTTGGCAGCAAGTAATTGTGTAGGGATTTGTCCTCTTCATGGGAGATAGACAACAAAAACAGTCAAGATGGGCCATAAACTTCTACAAATCTGAATGTGATCTTGATCTTAGTAATATTTTATTGTTTAACTTCATGTAAGTCAGCAAGTTAGTTCACTTCTTAAACTGAAGTTTGCTTATCTGTAAAACATGGGTAACAGTGATTACTTCAGTGGGTTGTTCTGCCCATTGAATAAGAAAACCTATGAAAGTTTCTAGCTCACTGTGATTGCTCAGTTTATGTCATTGTTATCACACCATGAAAAACTTCTCATCCTGTCTATATCTTACTTGACCATATTGTGTAAATGTGCAAGTAAGTAAAAATTAAACTCTAATATTCTTTCGAAGTGCTTTTTTGGTATGGATTAATGAAAATGAAATGAGACTAGCATTTGGGAGATTCTAGAGAGTGTCATACTAAATAACACCTCCATGTCATTCACAAACTCACTGTACCCTTGAATAATTTTTCATTACCTTCGTAAAATATGACTTCCCCATGTCCTCCTGGGCAGATGCGAAAGTATGGAGCTGGACAATAAAATCCGGGATCTGATTGAAAGAAATGCTTCTCCTGGTCCAAGAGGGATCAACCCAGAGGCCACATCAAGTCGTAGAAATTCGTGTTCTCCAAAGGTAAGAAAACACCTTCTTCTACATCTCCATACACTCTTTAGTTTACTCACCAGTAAGAATTTATGGGGACAGCCCCCGAATCATTTACAGTCAGTCATGTACTTCCTTGATAACTAAGAGGACAGAGTGAACCAATACAAAACTGCTCTTACACAGTCATTTCCTGTTACTGAAGAAATCCTGCAGCAGAAGGCACTTTCCAGCTTAGTGTGTACTGACAGCCTGACTGCATGAGGGCAGCCACATCATGCTATTAAACTTTCTTAAGTTTAATGCAGCGACAATTCTCATGGGGCAGGAAGCAACTCAATTTAAGTAAACCCATTCAAATTGAATTACTAAAGTCAGCACAATTCGTGTCCACATTTTTGGGGTAGTCTTTTTTTTTTTTTTTTTTTAGAAAAAACAAGGCTTTACTGATTAAAGCAGTTGTTTGACTTGGAATTTCCTCTTGTTTCTGGATATTTGCCTACGGTGCTTTATATAAGCAGATAAAATTCAAGGGTAAGCTCAAGCTGGGAATTTTGTAGACAGCTTTCGAGAAATGCATCATAAATGACAACATGCACTCTCAGCTCTGTGTTCTTCTTGATTAGAAGCCATCTTTAATAATCATTACCGAAAATCTAATGTGAAGAGATGTGAGAGCATAGCTGGCATAAAAAAATAATTTTTTCTTCTGGTGAAAAATAACTTTAGTTCTTATTTGTAAAGTAGTCCGTGCTCATTGTAGAAAGTGTATACGGATAAACACAGAGAAAACTATAAAAAAATCATGTAGAGACTTATGTCACATGGAGATAATGGAGTTTGGGCTGTCTTATACAAATATTTACAGTTATAACTAACTGACATCCATAAATTTGCCTATTTTTCTCTTAAAGTATATTCCAGAATTATATGGGCCTCAGGCTCACTAAACATACATTTGCTTTGAAATCAATGATAGGCACACAATTTGGGGTATCTCTGTGTTCCTCTCTCTCTCTCTCTCTCACACACACACACACACATATACACACCTGTTTTGTTAACTTACTTTTGTTCACGTACATGCTGTGTGGTTGGTCCTATAGCCTAGTGGTTAAGGGAGTCAGATACCACATGGTCAACAGTGGTTTAAAATGTTCAAATCACGTTTGCTAGTGGCTAGGCCCACAAACAAGACTTACTTCTCCCCTTCACTCCTTCTCTTCTTACTCTAACTCCCAGCACTCATATATACACTTTTGACTCTCAGCTGAACTTTAGTCCTTCATGAAAATTTGTGCTTTCCTCCAGTGACCATCTTGTCTAATCCCAGAAAGAAATTTCATGGTGATCATTTTAATCCTCTCCAGTCCCCTGATCCTCATATTCTCCTGTTATCTAAGACCCATTTGCTCATGACTGACCTCCCTCACAATTCATTTCATGCTGTCTTTTGGATATTCCCTTACATAATTAAAACCCTTTTCTACATCCTAAGTAGCACAGTATCATCCTGTTGGTAATATGTTCCCTCTACTTTGGGACTGAATTGAAACTTGTGTCCCTCTCTAAGACACTGCTTCTCCTATCACCTCATTGATCACATGTGCTCACCCTCCTCCATTCTACACTTGTAGGAAAAGGACAGCAGATTCTTAGCTGATGCTTCATATCTTCCTTGTGATGTGTGAGGTAAAGACATCTACAGAGAGAATGAGAGATAAGAGGGGAGGTCCAGGGCTTAAGGACATTTGGAAAGATATGAAATGGCCATTGGGAAAGGAAGAGCCAGAAGAGAGGAGTAAAAATGAAGAGTTGCTGAGTGGCAGTGAACACTGAGTCAAGTTTGATAAACACTACTTTATGATAAAACCAATCGCTAGGCAATGTTGGGGCTCCTTTCTTTAATACCTGCATCACCTTTCACCAGCTTAAACTATGCTCAGTTCTCCTTCACTTTAAACATATGAACTCCATATTATTTTATGGATAGTGTTCTAATGTATTCTAACAGATTATAATCAAGTTTTTTTTTTGAGAGGTTTTTGCTATAGGGCACGTGTGCTTGCCAGAAAGACAGAGACAGAGAGACAGAAAGTGAGAAATCCCCCTCCAGGGGAGATAGCCACGCCTCAATCCCTTCTCCTTCATTTTTCTCTTGGGATCTTGGGCACGCATGCACACACACCCAGTGTGAGTTTAAGCCACCAGGTCCAGGACTCGAACTGTGGTTGACTACATGGGAGTCCAGTGACATAGCCATTGTGCTAACTGCTAATCCCCCGGATCATAGTTGATTTTATGGATCATAACAGCATTTAATAGTTTCCCTTCCCTGTTATACCATTGATAACATGACCTTGATAAATCCAATGATCACTTTTCATCTTATTTCATCTTGTCCTCTCATTCCCACTGTACCCTGTTCACTAATTCAACTTTTTAAAAATGTCTTACTCTATTGACATGCATAATGTTAGTCCCTGAACACCCCTCTACTCCTTTATTTTTCTCTGATTTCTCCTTCCTGCCCCACTTTACTGGCTTTCCTGACACCATCTACCTGCTATGTTAGTGTTACCCATGGATCTGTCTCCCATCCTTATCTCATTAAACTGTAGGATCTGTGCTGATGCTTCCAGGCACAGGTACTGCCTGAACATGGAGTTCTTTTCTACATGCACTTTAGCTTTACTCAGTATTTCCAAAAGTGAATTCAACTTCTTTCCTACTGCTTCTCCCTTCTCCCCACATTTTTTGTGCTGGTCAATGACATTTCGTCCAGTCATTCAAATTTGGGCAGAACGTGGATTCCTACATGACTGTCATGCTGCACAACTCCAGGTGTCCCTATTCAGGGCACGTGTGCTTGCCAGAAAGACAGAGACAGAGAGACAGAAAGTGAGAAATCCCCCTCCAGGGGAGATAGCCACGCCTCAATCCCTTCTCCTTCATTTTTCTCTTGGGATCTTGGGCACGCATGCACACACACCCAGTGTGAGTTTAAGCCACCAGGTCCAGGACTCGAACTGTGGTTGACTACATGGGAGTCCAGTGACATAGCCATTGTGCTAACTGCTAATCCCCCGGATCATAGTTGATTTTATGGATCATAACAGCATTTAATAGTTTCCCTTCCCTGTTATACCATTGATAACATGACCTTGATAAATCCAATGATCACTTTTCATCTTATTTCATCTTGTCCTCTCATTCCCACTGTACCCTGTTCACTAATTCAACTTTTTAAAAATGTCTTACTCTATTGACATGCATAATGTTAGTCCCTGAACACCCCTCTACTCCTTTATTTTTCTCTGATTTCTCCTTCCT